TGATGGGAGTTTATAGTTAGAACTATTCTGTTAGTGTTTTTTTCTGACTACAGTAGAGGGTCTTGGCGATGTTTTTTCTCTGTAGAATTTTGCTTTCCTTTCAGGCCTTTTTACAGTGGAATTCACCACCTATCTGTCGGCACGAATCGCGGGCTGAGAAACATTTGGCGTGTTTTCTCAGATCGCCAGGCACGCGGGCAGGCTCTCAGTCTCTGCGTGGCACAGGTGGCACCGATGGCCTGTGGGTGTTTCTCTCCTCATGCTGCACAGACTGTCCAGCTCGGAGACTCGCTGCCCAAAGCTCTTCGGTGCTGGGTGAGGTGTCGTGCACATTTTGGACATTTTGGACCTAGGAAGATCTAGGAGGCTGTGTGAGACGGGGATTGGGATTTTAATGTAGATTCTTAAGTTGTGTTCAAGCCTTATAGCAAATTGGCTAGATCTCATTAAGCAGTGTTAATAATTAACTTGCATTCATTTTCATCCCAGAGGATCGCAAAGTGCCTCACATACAGGAGGGTACACATTACCTCTCCAGCATCACTGAAGTGCAGCCCCCCTGGGCGCTGTGTGCTGGCTGCTCTGTGCCAGCAGCCCCACTGCACACCTGATCAGGGGGAGACCAGGGAAATTGCTTCACTAGCTGGATTTAGGGAGGTCTTTGGGGAGGCCAGACTGTGCAGTCTCAGAGTGGAATTTAGCCAGGACACTGGGGTTAACACAGCGACGTTTACACACTGTTCCACAGGATCGTTAATCACCTTGTTGGCAGAATCACCTCCAGCACCACAGTGTCTCCAGTCTTCGTACTGAAGCACTGGTTTGGACTTGTGGTCTGGAGGGGAAGAGCTACTTACAGCAGCAGCCTGGTTTTCCTTAGAGGACCGTCCCAGTACTGACCAGGCCCGGCCCGGTCTGGCCTGGCTGAGACCTGACAAGATCGGATTAGGAGGTGATGAATAAAAACACAGAGCTCACTTTTGGTCACCCTACCTCAAAGGATATTACCACCTCAGAAAGAGCTCAAAGAACACAATAGGAAAGATTCCTGGTCTCAGAGATGAATGTCCAGACAGTTTTAAAACGATAGACCTCTTCAGGACCCAAGGGGCTGTTTGCCAAAGGAGTGAAACAAGGACACAGGACACAGCTGGAAAGGAATTCATTTAGGGTGGCAAATGGGAAACACTGGTGTTTACACAAAGAGTGACAGGTGACTGGAACAGTCATCCGCCACAGTGACTGGGGCCCAGACTAGACTCCTTGAAGAATTGTTTTAGAAATGATCTTCTGCTCCCAGACAAACAGGACAGACTGAGTGGTCTATTCTCATCGGGGCGGAGTGGTGGCTCTGTGGCTCAGGATCTGTACCCGTTCCTGGAAGGTTGCTGGTTCATATCCCACAGCTGGCAGAGGAATCCTACTCTGTTGGGCCCCTGAGCAAGGCCCTTCACCCCAGCTGCTCCAGGGGCGCCGTATAAACGTCTGACCCTGCGCTCTGACCCCCAGCTTCTCTCCCTGTCTGTGTGTCTCATGGAGAGCAGGTTGGGGTTTGTGAAAAGACAAATTCCTAATACAAGAAATTGTATATGGCCAATAAAGTGATCTTATCTTATTTACAGCCTTTCTCGTGTTCCCAAGTACAGTAGGTCAGTCTTGATTTATGAAACAGATGTATATCTAAAAGTAAAAATATTCTAGCATTAATGCAGACGAAGCTTTATTACTGAGGAAAGCTCACGAAAACCAAACAATGGCTCATGCAGAAGAGCCCAGTCTGAAGTGATGTGAAATTCTGGGGCTCGCGGGGTGAAAGGCTGGCCTTCCCTTCTGCAGAACCCCTCAGCCTCCCTGTCAGCGGAGCTGTGAGAGGCTGTGTTTGAGCCTGAGCCCAGGGATGGCTGCGACTCTGAATGAAAGAGGCTGTTCTCCCTGTGCAGTGTGCCGCCCTGCTCAGTCCAGCAACAGTGTCTGCAGTGTCCCGCGCAGCTCAGGGGGCTCCTGAGGCCCGGCCACAGGGGAGCAGCTGCACAGAGATCTGTTTCATGTCAGACAGGAGAAAGAGGCCTTTTTATTTACAATTGGTCGGGCAAACTGACTGCTGCAAAGGAACATGCTCTGTGGAGTAGGCAAACCTCAAAGAAGGAAAGAGGAAAATAGGACTTTGATTTCTCTATAATTTCCGGGCTTGCTTCCCAGTACTGGAATACTGTAGTGACTTTCCAATCAGGATGGATCCCTGTCCTTTCCCTGACTCCACTCGGCCCATAGAGCCTCAGCCGCTGACCCCGGGCCAGAAGCTGTGCCGCGGTGATCAAGGACGTGATGGGGGGTGTGAGTGACTGGGGTCCCAGTTTGGGCTGGTTTTAATTGAGAGTTTTTTAAACTGAAGTTTAAGGCTCATATTTTCGCTTGCGGGCAGCAGGGAGGCGCAGTGGTTGGCACCGCTGCCTCCCAGTGCTCTGGGTTCAGTTCCTGGGGTGCCATCTGTGTGGAGTTTGCATGTTCTCTATGGGTTCGTGTGGGTTGTGTCCGAGTTCTCCAGTTTCTTCCCACAGTCCATAGACATCCTGAGAGGTTAATTAATTGGCTTCTGGGAAAACTGGCCATGGTGTGTGTGTGTTTGTCCTGTTCTGCTCTGCGATGGATTGGTGTCCCATCCAGGATGTATCCTGCCTTGTGCCAGATATTTGGCAGCTCGCCTGTGACTTTATTGTATAAAGTGGTTAGAATATGAATGGATGGCTATTCTGCTTGCCAAGAACATCTGCAACTTAAGAAATGTTAGAAGCAAGAGGGCATTCTGTCTGCATTCCTTGGTTGTCTTCAGCTGACAGATCCTAGGATCTGATGATGTGTGTCTCAAGACATGAGGCAATCGGCTTCTGCCTGACTGCTCTGTGCTGTGTTGCAGACACCTACCTCTCCTTGTGTAGAGCACTGCTCCCTGCCATTCGTACTGGATGCACAATCAGATCAGGATCTTCGAAACCCAGGAGTTACTGAGAACCTATGTGCACTCTACCTGAGCTGAAGTGCTGCTGCCATCTCTGTGTTTAGTTATTTTCAAGTTCCAGTTGCTGACTAAGTAGCAGGTCTGCCTTCTCAGCATTTAGTTCTAGAGAGGTCTTTAACACGAGGGCCACACACTTTTAATTACACAGGGTGGCCCGTGCCGGTGGGGAACACTGATGCAATTCTGATTTGAACCTGGAGCAGCAGCAGCAGAACGCCTGTGATTA